CTGCCTCCCTGCCGAAGCGTGCTGCCGGTCTCAAATTCACACTCTCAAAGAAGCTTGATACGCCGCGGACCCCGCTCCACATATTCCCCGACTTCCCAGGGGAGTGAGAGGCTCGAAGCCCACGCACTCTAAACGGTCTTTCCCGTCTGATTCTTAGATCAGAGACTTGAGCAAAGCGCTTCGCTCCGAGGAGCGTGACCACAGACATTTGTACATGAAGCTACGCGGGTGCACGCACCTCTCGTGCGTGTGTGCGCGCACACGGGCTGCGTACCTTCGGTCAAGCTTGATGCCTTGGGTATTTTTTTTTTTCTTTTCTTTCTGATCTCTCTTTGAAATACCCCAATATCTGACTTCTAGCGTTTCATGCGCACAATTTTCTGCCCGCAGACAGACAATATCGGACTCTGCTATTTTCTATTGCTTTATCAGCACAGATTTCTGCTTTACAGATTTCTACCTTTGCAATGAATGCTGCAAAACAACCATGACCCATCAAAAATACCTTGACCGCGATCAAAGCCTGTGCACGCATAGAGCAATATTGCTTGGATCTCCCAAGGATTGCCAGTCTCCAAACCTGTCTTTTTTTTTTGTTTCAGCTTATCAAAGCATTTTCGCGTCGCTGGGGTTGCTCCCGTATTTAAAGGGAAGAGGGGATTTTTGAACACTTTTTTGAATCATGGCACTGAGTTTGGGGGGCTTTTCCTTTTTGTTTTGGGGATTGTGTTCACCTATATCGATGCTTTTGATGTGAATTTAGCAAAAGACTATGTAAAGTTTAGCTGACAAATTTATTTGTAGTCTTGAAATATTTGATCATCAGAGAGAAAGCGAGAATATAAATAAAAGACACTGGACATTCACATAATCTACAGTTAATTCAATCATTTTTACAGATAACAATATACATATTGTCTTGCCTTTCCTCACAATAGGCTCGCGTGATAGCTGCATAAATACACAAACGCCTGCAACAGAGAAGGGGCACCGGGGAAGCGTGCGCTCGCTCCGGCGCCCGGGGCGTGAGCTAACCCAGCCGCCCCCCCGCTGAGAGACCCCCCCGAGAAGGTATTTGGCAACAAGACATCAGGGTGATTTTTGAGACGCTTTGCAGTAAAACTGCTGCAAAGGTATTGGAAAGAAGAGCCTAAGTTTCACAACCCGGAGCCACTAGTGTTCCTGGGTCAAGAAAAATCACCTCTTGACCTCGTGATAAACGTGTAGTTATTTGGTAATAAATACATCTATTCACGGTTTAATGCTTATATGGAAGAATAAAACTAGCCATCTACAAATCAAAAAGATGAGAAGCAGAATTAACCTATGGTTTTCATTTTACAAAGGAAAAGGGTTGTCGATAAATGATTGGCATGTTAAAGAGCATTTCATTTTAGAAAAGTTAATGTAAATTCAAAATAAAACGAAACATACCGCATCGGTGCGCTTTTTAAAAAATCTGCTGGAAGAACAGAGTTTTCTACCATGGATTGCTGAAGTGATTCACTATTAACATTTCTCCTATAGAAATATAGACATTGTCACACCTTTTACCGTGGATGAGGACTTTATTTTCTCTTTAAAAGGTTTCGGTGTGGATGGGTGATGAAGCAAGTCCTTGCTTTGGAGAATGCACTGACAACAGAAAGCGAAATACCGTATATCAAATCTGTAAAGCACAAGTCTCGGTGTTTAGTAAAGACACAAGAATCAGTTCCTTTTGGGCGCTCCGTATCGCTGCGGCGCGACCGCCTCTGCCCACCGTCCTCCGCCAACCCCCCGCCGGGTCGCCCTCCGAAAGCACGTCCGCGCTCTCCGTGTCGCCACGCCTTCCTGCCCCGCTCAGCCACCGCCGTTTGTCCCTCCTTTATTTCCAAGAGTAGATGACGTTTAACGGCACCGAGTCCTTTCCCTTCCCGCTGCGTGGTGGTGGACCCTGTATCAAAATTGAGCGTGGTCGACTTCATCCAGCCAAGAGGCCGGGCTGGCAGGGAAATCCGGGTATCCCCCGCTGCTGCCGGTGGAGAGGTCGGAGCTGGGGCCGTTCCCGGCCAGGACCCTCATGGACTGGGGCACCCCTTGTCCGCTTTGTCCCATGATTCCCAAGCCGTTGTCTGGGTAAACCAAGCTGGAGATTAAAGGCTGGTGGCCTGGCAGTGCTTGCAAGGAAGCCGGTGACTGGGGTATCCCGTAGGGGCTGTTGGATCGCAGGTCGTGGTACTGGTCCTGAGCCGGGATGCCGCTGTGATCCAGAGCAAAGCTCCCGTTGCTCCCGGCCTGTCTCCCCAGAGCGGGGGACGCTTCATTGAGATTGCTGTAAATCCCATTGGAATGGCTCATTTCAGACATAGAGGGCTCATCTGAAAGGGAAACGGACTGGTTTTACTGGGAGAGCAATGGTCACCGCTGGCAGCGGTCGCACGGGAACTCCTGCGAGCTCTGGGTATAAACAGATTAGACGGACGTGAGCTGAGCAGCCACGCGCTTGCCGCTTGTAATTCCTTATTATTCCCGTCCTTGTTGACGGATCTTCGTAGGAGGTCACGGGATTATTATTTTTTCTGAGTACAAACACCTAATACAATTGGGGTTTTAAAAATATGCATGAAAAGTACCTACTAAAATAGAAGACTCTGATTTAAAAATAATCCTTCAAGGGGGGATGCGAGTCCACTGTCTCTCCACCTTTTGTTCTGCATTTCCATTTGGCTTTGCCGTTTATCTTGAGTTTTTATATCATTTTTAGGAGCTGCCTGAGCACTCACCGATGCAAGAAAAAACTCTCCATTGCTCAGGAAAAAAAATATTAAATCTCAGCAGTATTTGTCTGTTCATGAAATGTACCTGTACGGGCTAATGCAATGTGCCTGTATGACTTAAAAAGACTTCGGAAAAATGGGCGATATTTAAGTTACCAGTAAAAATTGTTTGCATTCATTAGGGGCTTTATGGACAGTGAGAGCTGCCCTGTTGCCTAGGATACAAACCTGTTTGTGGCATCAAGCTATCAATAATTGTTCAACATTTTTTACTTATTATTTATAGTATATTCATATTTAATGATGCCGGTGCACAGCGTGTATAAACAGGCTCGAAAATCAAATCGTTTTTAGGAGCACGGGAGAGAAGCTGCTCTGCAAAGCCGCGTGCGTACAAGCATGGATGCGTTATAGACATACGTCTGTGTAAATATGTACACGGAGCTTTGCGTTTCGGCGTCTCTCCTCTATTCCTAACCCCCCCCCCACGCACACGCAGAGCCCCACGCGTTTGGGCACCGCGGTCGCACAGCCCAGGTAATGTCGGCAGAGCCCATTTGGCCCTGGGGCAGCGGCTGGGCTGGAATTGGGGCGTGCAGAACGGGCACCAGTCCCCCCCAACCCGGCCCAGGGCCGTTCCCTGCTCCCGCAGCAAATTCCCTGGGTCTGGAGAGCGCGGGAGGAGGCTACGCAGAGCGAGAGCTCGCGTTAGCTACGTCCCTGGGTTTAGCAACAGAAATCCGCTCCAAAAATGGGACCCTCTGATGCAGAAAGCTCCTAAGAGGCAGCAATCTGCCTTTCACAGGGCAGGGGAGAGCTAACAACTCGCGCAGAACTGGGAAGGGAGCCCTAACCGGTAACTACGCAAAGAAAACCACCCCTAAAGAGGAAGAAAACCCCCAAATTCTACATACTTTTCCCATAGAAATGCGCAACGATTCTCGACTCCGGTTTTTCTATTTCCAAGAGCCCCTTGAAAAGGCTGTGTCCGAGCAGCGGCTCTGACACCCGCACCGCCTGCCCGGGGAGCTCTCCCCGCTCTCCCCGCACGTTTTTG